CTGGTCTTGAACACCTCCGGGGATGGGGCATCCACAGCTTCTCTGGGCAATCTGTTCCAGTGCCTCACCACCCCCTGAGTAAATAATTTCTTCTTAATATCTAATCTCCCCTCTTTTACTTTAAAGCCATTCCCCCTTGCCCTGTGTAAAAAGTCGCTAAAATCACCTTACATGAAACTTACTTCCTTTTCTTGAGCAGACAGGAAGAGTGCATTTTAGAGAAAGAGAGTGCACAAGTTAGAGCCTGTGGTTCCTCTTCCTTTCAGTGTTTCTGAATGAATGACTGCTCATTTACATCCACCTTTGATTATAACTTTGATATAACCATTCCTGGTTTGGTCTGCTTGCTAATTTTCTGGAGTATTTTAGTCAAAAGAAATCCTTCCTACAAATAGAGCTCTACAAAATCCTTTCTACAAAGATTTTGCTCCTTTTTCAGTCTGTGATGTAATTTAACAGATAGGTAAATGGGTTCAGCGAACACATCGGTGGAGATTTCCCCAGCACTGTAAGTAAAGGGCCTTCCTCTTTTGTGCATCAGGAGACTAGACGTACTTTTCTAACACTTTGAAGAAATTGAATATAAAATGCATAGCAAAGAAAACATGAGCATGGCAACTGATACATCACTAATAGAATGGTATTAGTGATAATGGATAGATAATGGATAATAGTGGATTAGTGATTAGTGATTACTTCAATGCACATTCATGAGTGTAGCCTAATAAACTAACTTGGTTGAACAAACAAATTCATGGTTTTAATTCATTTCTGATATGCCCCCCATCTATTTTACAAACACTGTCAGAATCCCATACTGTTAACTGAAATAAAGCATTAGAGCAGATAATATTTTTAAAATACAGAAAACAAAAGGAAGATAACCATATATGAGGTAAAAATAAAACTGTACTTATGAGGACTTCTAATGTTCATAATGAAAGTTCCTTTTTCTTCCTTTAATGTGTAGGTGACAGTCTGTAACTCAATATACCCTCTTCCTTCCACTCTCATAATAATGTCTGACATTTCACCTCCAAAATGCTAGAATCTATTCTGGCACTGAACAGCAGTTCGGCTAGCTGATCCTAACAGTCTGTGTTTATCTCCTGTGGGCCAGTCAGCAGACAGACACACACCAGTTGTTCAGTAAGTTATGTGATTCTTACACTCCACTAAAATCCCACTGGATAAAGCACCAATTGAAAATGCAGATCACAGTGTTAATTTTAAATATAAAAGCACAAGAAGTGCTGCATTCTGAGCTGATTAAATCTCACGTGTTCCACCAGAAACCTCTAGCTCTTCTACAACCTGTTTCAGTTATATTATATGACATCTGCAGGTACAATTTTCTTCCTAAATTGGATTAAAGTGCTTCAGCTGCACTCTTCTCAACTACAAATTTTTCTAGGTAACTTATCTCTCTCAAGAACCTGTAATATAAGGTCTAAACCAGAATATGATTTTATTTATTATTCCTTAAACTGTTAAGAACGTAAATAGAATATGGAAAAAATAAATAAATAAAAAGAAAAAAAAATCACAGGTTGTCCAGCCCTTATAAAATACCTTGAAATTACATAAATTATTAGTAAAATTAGATAATGCATAGCATTAGGATATGAATTGATTGTATAATACTATAGTATTAGGAGTGATAGTTCAGCTTTTTCTCCACCGGCTAGTATCGACATGTGCAATAAAAAATGAATGCAGTGGATCAGTATAGCTTTTGACATCAGATATCTGCACCTCAGGGGATGTTTACCCACAGTGTGCACAGTTTCCAGCAGCAAAGCTGTGGCAGTAACATTCTATTGCCTCTTTCAGGAATGTTATTCAAAAATAATTGCCAAAATATACCTTGAATTTACTTATCTTTGTAATGTACATTCTGTTTAGGTATTTCTAGTGTAGGCTAGAAAATACTTTGACGATCAAACATAGGAAGAGGTAGCCAGAGAGGTTGTGTACTCTTTGTGTTTGGAGACATTGAAAACCCAATGAGACAAGCCCTTTCAGCGATCTGCTCTAGTTCATCAAATGTAAACTTAAAATACATTTACATGGATTTCATCCACTGTATGTCAAATAGGATCAAGCTTCCTATTCAGAAAGCTTTGAACACAATGCTCCATGCTCTCTCTGCTGCTGAAATTCAGGTTATGACTTCCCAGAGGCAGAAAATGCTCTCTTTTTGTTTGTTCACCGGGACACACTATGTGCCCCAAAGTGAGTAACAGCAACACTCAAGAGATAGACAAATTCATTGTAGTCCTTGGACATCCCAGACTATAAATATTTTCAACTGGTGACAGTCACATGCTAAAGTGAACATCTGTGCTTGGTAACACCTTCCAGGGCCTCTCTGAGGTGCTTTCTTTCCCCTAGTTCTCTGATTAACTTTTACTACAGTAATTGTCACCCTATCTTATAAAACTCAATTTAAGTTCATGCAACACAGAATGTACTGGTATTGAAATATCCATTTAACATACCTGTGCACCAATAACAATTTTTTTAAAAATAAATGAAGATCAAATATTTTCAGACTGAAAAATAAAAGCACTGAAACTGTGAATGAAAAGATCGTTTCTCTTTTTATCAGTAGAATCTCACCATTTTGTTCCTACATCCATAATAGGAAGAATAATGAAAAACAGAATATGAAAGTCATCCAGGATTTTGAGAATGCCATGACAAATAATTCCCTATTGAAAATTTTTACCAATTTCTCCAAAACAAACAATTACAGAAGACCTTTCAAAACAGGTTTCCTTTCTTGCACTGAAAATATACTGCCTAAGACTGCTTCTCACTTCCATTCTGCAAAAAGAGTTATTGCTCTCAGGTTTTTTTGGGGGAATATATTAAATGGAGGGGAAGGGAAAGGAATCAGTGCTTTTTTGATTGTTCTGTGTTGGTTTTGGCTCTTTTGTTTGTTTGTTTAACTTAATTTCCAAGCCACATCCTAATTTAGGTTGCAATTGTAAAAGCTGTGCAGAATATATTAAATCCCAATTTGAAAAAAAAAAGTTTAAATATCTGAAAAAAAATGTAGTTTATATTTAAATACAACTTGCAAATACTTACATCTAAATATATCTTTTAAATTTACTTGCAATCTATCTGTTCTAAGTAAATATTGCAATAAATGACTAAGACAAATGACAATTTACAAATCTATAATAGTATGAAGTAAATAATAATCTAAATAAGTCATAATCATAAAAAGATGTAATTTGACATCTTTTCCATGGGGTCTGAGCACATTCCTAATATGGACCATCAAATGTATTGGATAAACATTGTGAGAGCTTTATAGGAATATCATTACTAATGGCATCACTTTTTAATGTACTCTGTACTGGTCCAGCTCTGACGTTATTTTAAAAATAAGTTCTTTTAAAAAAGAATAATTTATCAGCTTTGACAATATGAAATACTATAAATGCATGTGTTTATTTTCTTAAGAACTAGAGAGTAATTTTTCTTTGTAAGGTTCAAAGAAGAGTTTTAAATCTTACAGTGGACAGAAGAAAAATGACTAGTTCAATTGCTCAATAAAAATATAGAAACAAAATCATAGTCTTTGGGCAATACAGAATTAAGAAATGAGTATATCTTGACAATGAGTCCTAAGATTCCTCAACCCTGACTTACAAGTAAAAAAAAAAAAAAAGCCACTTTATTTTATTAGCTTTTAACAAATCTCTGGATGGGTGATTGGTCAAAGAAATGGTTACACTCAAACGATTACTTGCATCTTTGTATTTTCCAGAAGTACCTCTAGATGTAAGAAATGTTTACATACTTCATCTTTTCCTATACATAGGCTTTTGACAAGTCCTGTTAACACCTAACAGCACCCCCAGACTTCCTTTACTTCCCAGTCACATAATTGCTGAATTATTTCAGTTAGAGTAATATGGTTACTTTATGGTTACTTTGCTGGCCAAATCCTTAAATCCATTTGTCATTTTGTTGTCTCCAAAATGTGGCCTTTCACTCATCCTACATCTCTTCTTACAACCGTTCACCTGCTAAACACCATCAGACTATAGCTTCTGTTCCCTGGCTTTTCACCGTCTTACTGTCTCCTTGTATTTCCTAGGCTCTAAATATTTATCTTTTGTTCTGCTTTTTTCCATGCAATCATTTATATATAGTCCTTTACAAGAAGTATCCAGCACTCCTCTTGGACTGCCAGCCATAAATAATATATATTTACTATCCCAACTAAAATTAAAATTTTTCTCTTACTTTTCTAAATACGTGTTTGTTTGTTTGTTTTTAAACACATAAGGAATCAAAGCAGCCTGAACAGGCATTGTTATGAAAGGCTGTGAAAAAAAATACTCTATTTCCAGTGGACATTTTAGCTTTTAGCTTAAGTGCCAAAAAAATCCTTTTTTAAAAAAGGAAACAGGTCACTACTAGCAAGAATGGCTTTGATAATTCCTCCTCAGATAATTATGAGCAAACAACGCTGCTTAATAGGCTAGCAGAAAAATTTATAGTCTATTAATTTAAATATTAAACTATTGATACATCATGTAAAATATGTTAAAACCAATTCTAATTTTTAAGCTACTCTATTAATGAAGTAAATGCTAAAATGTTAATACAGATATTGCATTTTGTTGTTACTTGTTACATTTTGTTTCCACTGTGCTTCTTTGAAAAGGGTTGTACTGCCCACTGATTTACCTCTAAAAATGCAGAATACACATTTTTCAAATTGTTCATTAAAATTAACCCATTGCTTAACTAGCAACATGAACATAAGCTGTCAAAAAGTAAGCTGTACAACAGGAAAAAAAAAAAAATCAAAAATTAATGTATGGCACATATGCACCCGAGAAGATTTTGATCCAGAAAGTCCATACATACAAAATTTCATTTTCCTGGGACAAAACTGTGGATGTCTTCACATGCAAAAGTAGGACAGTTGTCATGCTGTTAGTTCCTTTTTATTTTTTTTTTCTTTTAGTTACCTGACAAGACAACTTCAACTAGGTCTCCTTCTTGGATATCTGCAGCTGATTTCACCAACTGGAGAATGTTTTCAGAGGTATGGTCATGGCGGAAGAGCAGAATTTTGTCATACATTCCATAGAAACCACATTCAGGAAACTGTAAATACAAACCCATAAGAAATTACTACATTGTAAAAATACATAACTGTAAAATACAATTAATATAATTAACTTTGAGGGCAGAGTAGATGCTTGCTCAGATTAGTACCAAACTAAATATTTTTCCATACACGGCAATATTTATCATGGTATTCTAAACATAGCTTTTCCGCAACTCAAGTAAACTCATTTGCTTTTATTTTGTTTGCAAGTAATGCGGTGTCCAATAGTAAATGAGAGAGAAATAAGTACATCCCTTACTCAGTGCTGATGTCTTTTCAAAGACAAGTTCCCAAGCAACTTGATTAGATCCTTCTGGAGAAAGTGGTTGGCCTAGAGGACCTCTGGAAGTCCCAGCCAACCTACATTATTCTATGATTACGGTACTCATGGCAAAATGATGCCTGGAGGCCAGCAGAAATATTTTTCAGCTCTGCCTAAGATACAACTCTTAAGTGATAGGTCATTAGCTAATACTTATTAGCTAATGGACTTACATGGACTAAGTCTTACTTACATGGACAAAGTAGAAAGCATTTCAAAAAACTCTGCAGCTGTACATTGAACATGAGATTATTATATAAGCAAAACTTTTTCACTCCTTTTTGCTGCAGCACAAAAATGTGAGTTTTTTCATGTTCCTAGCTTAAAAGAACCAAACTTTTGCTTTGAAAACATAGCCAAGAAACCCTTTTTATGAGACATAAAATTCAATCCAATTTTCCACTGTTGAACTACTCCATGTATTATCTGGGAGCTTTACCAACATGCAGTGAAAGAAACCCAATGATAAGCACAGAGAGAAAAAGTGACAGGCTTTGAAGGACAAATTAGTTTATAAAAAATAAAGAATAAAACAATACATTCATTACTGATTACTAGCAGCTTCAGAATCAATCAAAGCACTCCAAGAAAGTTATGCTTCATAGCTTTAAAGCATACACTCTAAAATAGAGACAAAATAGTCATATCCCTGCTTCAAATGAAATGCATCAAAGTCTCTGAAGTCAGGTCAGTCCTATTCCAGATTAATTCTTAAGGCATGATTGTTTCAAAATCTCATTAATGTGCCAAAACTAGTTCAATAATATGCCAAATTCATGGCTTAAATGTGAAATAGTTACTCTTGTTTTTACAGAAATTTGCTTTACAAAACTTTCCAGGGGCAGACGTAATCTGAACTGCAATTACTCTCTTTGTCAATATACTCTATTATCTAGGTTAAGGTAAGCTTAGATAATAAAAAAAAGATGATACGGGTGCTAGGAGACACCCAAGCATCTTACAAAGCTGTTCATCACCTGACCCAGCAGCACTGAGCTGAAACTAAAAGCCTGATGGAGCTGCCCAGGCCTTGTGCCATGGTGCTCAGTGGATGGAGCAGCTCTGCTTTGCACACCCCAGCATGGGAGCTGGCAGCAGGCAGACTCATGATCCTCATAGCATAAGAAAGTAATCACAAGGAAATTTAGTTATACCTACATTGCTACACTATACAAGCCTGATGGATTGTATTGAGGGATTTTTTTATTATTTGGATGCAGTGTAAAATTAAAAATACCTCTCAAAATGGACACTGCTGTCCCCTTAAAACACTGACAGAATCTTCTCATTTCACTGGATTGCAGAGATAAAACAGGCATTTCCCTCTAAATTCATTATGACTTAAATTGCTTGTTGTCGCTTTATTTTCTCGCTCTATTTGCTCTTTTTATGTTATTTTAATTTGTTCTACATATAAAAAGTATTTGTTATATTACATGTATTATCTATGTGTGTATAAACATTTTGAGGTATCACTACATTCTGAAGAGATAAAAAATTCAATCACGATTTGTTGTTCAATCCTATACAAGAATTATCTGCTGGGTTCAAGTGAGTTTTCCCCACATGAGCTACTCTCACGCCAAGAAAGCCATTTTGATGGTGTGATTCTCCAAATAAAACATTGTGTAAGGACCAACTGTTGCAACAGTGACAAAAATATTCCCTCAGCTAAGCTTATTCCTGCCAACAATAATGTTGATATGCACAAACAAAAGTAAACAAAAAGCCGACACATTGCTTGGTACTACAACACTATAAATAGCATTTATTTTTGCCAAATACAGAGCAAAATAGGAAATGCATACATGTCAAACTACCTAAAAGCTAACTAGAGCTAAGCTAACTGAAAACTAACTACAAATGATGGTATTAGACCTGAATTCCCAACACTAATAAAAAGCCTTTTCATTTTATTAGCTGCTGTAAGTGGCTAATACCAGGAATAAAATAGTCGCAGAAAACGCTATAATGTGGAAATGGAATATTTCCTTAAGAATCAAAAACAGAATTTAACAAAAGAAACTGTGTTACATATCCACAGGCTTTGTTCATTAGTGTACTAAATCAAAGATAACTGATACAAGAAGAAATTCTGAAAAATTAAAATATAAGCTATCCTCAGAAAATGCACCAGATTTACACTTTGCTATAAGAGCTTTTAATTTTGCCCAACCTTGCTATGCAGATGTCATTCATTATTGCTAAAAATATATTTATGTCGGTTCAGTAGACTTACAGGGGAAGCACTGTATGCGTTGCCTCATTCTATATCACTGGTAAGCAGTTCAATGTGTACTATGGGAAAACTGTTGTAAAGGTAATATTGCATATACACAGCTACTCTTCTCAGAGCAGATTATAATCTGTTAATATGCTCCTCTGTAAAAATAAATAAATAAATAAATAAAAATACTAGTTTCCATAATCCTGCCAATGACATGTCAAAAATGAATTGCTGTCAAGAAGAAATAGAAAATAAGGTGTTTAATGGGCTTAAGAGACTTCAAGGAAGACCTAAAGCTGCACTGAACTGACTTAATATGACTACTACTGGTCAGTGTAACTATTTGTAAAACACACATAAAAGTTTGCAGGAGAGATGTTTTCAGCCATTAGTCCAAAATAGCATTCATAGAGATAAATAATTATGTCACAGTAGAGTCAAACTGATTTCAGACAGCTTGAGAAGGAGAAATTGTAATTTAGAGATGATCTGCATTTAAAAATCAGCTTCCATGGATGGCAGAGGGTGACTGAAATTTAAGCTATCCTGAGAACACAATGTCCCTGGATTAAGCTGCAAATTATTTCCTACATGTCCACTTCAAAATGGAAAATGAAATATTAACAAGTTGCTTTTCATTATTGTTGCTTGTAGTGATCACAAACATATTACAATTCTGAATACAAAGCATTTAGTATTGAATAATGGGGATTTAAATTCTGTTTAATAGATTTTGAATTATTAATACCTACTGAATGCAGAAGCAGTGATCATTCACTGACTGTGAATGCTACTTTAGTAATACTTTAATTACATCCCCTCAAGAAATAAAATGCACATGTAAGTATTGTATAGTACCTCATGAGCTACAAATAGCCTAAAAAAAAATTACTTATAAAAATTTTCAACAAAGACTTAAATGTCATTTTTCAGAATTCCCATTCTTGACTTTTCAGCGATGCTTTTCTCATATTATGCCAATAATTTCTCCTTACAAGTACTGCAATGTTACCACAATAGAAGTGTATTATTTGGGAAAAGCATAATAGTTTGTTGTTGTTGTTTGGTTTTTGTTTTTACTTGTAGCCTTAAAAACTCTTGTCTAAAAAGTTACATAAAACTTATTTTATATCATATGGTAGTAGCTCTTAAGGTAAAAAACAGGAAACAACACTTGCATCTGAAATCACCCATAAGCAGCCTGAAGTCGTGTGCTTCTTTCATTTCCTGATAGTATCATTTAACTTTTCTCTGACTGTGGGACTTCAAAAAAAAAAAGCAAATATATTTTTCAGATGGAAGAAAAACCCTTCTGGTTAGCATTTTAAGTAATAATTTGATGTTGCACAGATTATGTGTACTATGGCAGCAGATTATCCATAAAACAGTGCAAGAAGAAGCTTAACACCAACCTTTCCTCAGCACATACCAAAGTGGAAGCAATCATTGAAGTGTTTTTACCCTTAGCAACAGTAAACATCTACAGAAAATCCACCAAAAGACTTTACCAATAGGAAGTCAAATGATTATCCAAATTCCAGCTTTTAATTTAAAAAGACTTCAAGTAATACTACAAAAAATTGCAGACGTTAAATTTCAATAACTAAGGCCTCACATTGTAAGTATTTGGTAATTCACATAATCCATTACATATTTCATCAGTCAATAATTTCAAAGTCATACATCCATACACATGCCAACACAGGTTGAACTATGCACTTCCATGAATATGCTGTCTTATCAATGACTGTTCTCAACACAAAGATCAAAAACAAACTCATGAAAAAAATACATGACTTAAAACTCTGTCCAACTACTGTGACAATCAAATTGTTTTACTGTTGAAGACAGAACTTTGGAAGACCTAATATACCTAAACATTAACGTATTTCCAACATGTATTAGGAAACTTTCAATACTTACAATTAAACATCTACATGGTTATTTGAATAGAGAATGTATTCAGCCTTCCTTTTTGCTGTAGTAAAGGACATTTTTAATAGAAATTAATTAAAAGGAAAGGTGAAACTGTCTAATGGAAGCAGAGCTCTCTCATCAGTTACGTTTAATAATTACAGATGTTGAAGGTTTGCACACTAGCTCAAAAGAAACCCCAAATGAAAAACTGATGAGAAATAAAGTTCTTTTGGTGGAAGAAATGTATCTGAAAATCTGGAAACAATGTACTCTAAATATCGATGCTGTTTCCAGTGTAACTACTAATGGAATCCAATAGTTGAAAAAATAGGTCACTGTGATCATTTTACTACAGTTTTGCACATTGACACATAAGGTATAGTGTCTGTTGTTTTATTCCAGGAATTACTAAGTCTTTTTATTTTTTTTTAGTCTACATTGACCTTCTTTTTTAAACTTTTTTTTGTTTTTTTTTTTTAGCTATAGCTATTTTTTTCCTCTCAAATTGGTCAGATTTTCACAAATCTTCC